CACTCTAGGCATTAGCACTGAAGTGTATAGCACACATGGGCATGTGCACACACGCACACATCCACTCCCATACACACAAAAAGAGACTGTATTGTGGCCACAAAGGAAAAGTAGTTTACTTTACTCTGTCAGGAAATCATCCTATGTTTTCTCTTCACTTTATTTTTTTAATTCTTAGAGAAGTTGCAGAAAATAAAGTGGATCATTGGTATTTTGATATGCCTTTCTCTGTGATCTGAGCCCTCTAAACTCAGGTTGCAAGGTTTAGAAAACTTCAGTTGCAGGCCTGTGCATGTATTTAAAGCTGGAACAGGTGGGAGTATCCCTATTGTGCTCTTTCTTGTCCTTCTCTCTCATTGAGCATGCCATGGCTTTCACTTTTTTTTTTCAGTCCCTTTATGGTTGTCCTTTCTCTGTTCATTTTCTTATGACTCTATTTCTATGTTATTAACAATGATTCTTTGGGGTTCTTGACTTATTTGAACACAATTTAGTCACAGTAAATTGAAAAAGAAATAGTCATAAGAGGGTGAGACTGATATCAAGACATTTCAAGGGCAAAGCATGAAGACTTGCATTACACACTCACCTATTCCAAGTAATTAAGGGAGAGGCACTGAGGGTGAGAACCCAGCCTCTCTGGGGTCTTGCTTGGGGTCTTCAAAACTGTCTTCTCCTCACTGACCAGCCTATCTTAAAATCATTGAAAGAAGATATTATGATATGTCATACATTTCAAGTTGTCTACTTCTAAAGAAAATGACACTCACTTTCCCCTCCTACATAAACTGTGCATTTTCCTAATGATTTTACTCTCTTCAGCCTTTGTAGGTTAACACACACTGTGCCAAAATCTACCTACTGTTTATTGGTAATTTAAAAATTACACTTACCTGAAATTTACACATAAGGTAATCACATCAATATAAACGTCTAATCATGCAATCAGGAGCCAGTTTCCCAAAGGATCCAGTTTCATTGTGTTTTTTCTCTGCCTAGACTTTCCTCTGCTGGAGGTAAAAGCATATTCTCTTTCTGTTTCTATCTCTGGGGCTTTCTCTCTCTCTGCCATTTAATTTACTTTCTAAGCATCTTTATCCTTTCTAATCTTCCCCCTGCTGCCAGTTTCTTCTATTTTGCTTCACCTAAATTTATGTTGTTTCACAAAAAGGTGTAATTAGATCTTTTTCCAGTCCTTTTATTGCTTTTCATTTATCTGCTTTTAGTTCTGTTTTTGGTTTATCTCTCACCTAAGAAGAACTTCCTACTCTTTCTGAAGGTCACTCCTGTACTGATAACTAACAGATGCTACTGTTTTGATTCTTCATGAACCTCAGGTCCTGAAAACCTTTGATTCCATGAATAGTGAGGCTTGAATATTCTACCTCTCTATAAATACTCCTGGTTTCTCCTAGGATAGAAAGTGGGAGTGATGTCAGAATCCGATGGGTCCCCAGAGATGAAATAAACAACCCTAATCACAGCTGTGCCAAGAACATATGATTATGATCCTGAAAATTGTATAAATGGATCCCTCCTTCTCTCTACCACTCCCAGTCCTCTCTTTCAAATGTTACAGTTTTCTCTTCTTGAATGAGCATATGCACAACTACTCCAACCCAGAAGGATACTGAAACTTCAGTTTCATTAGGGGCATCCATATAGAACTGTGGTAATTAAGTGCAGAGAGGCCCCTCTGTTATAAGGTATTTACAACTTCTCACCAAATAGGATGTTCATCGGTTGTGTACTTAATATTCATTTATTAAACAACAATAGGATTCAAGTCCTTATACTAAGTTCTGTAAAGGCAAAAACCATTCATCACTACTTTCACTGTGCTTAATATAGAGCATGGCTTCCTATTACATTCTTTTTTTTAAGATTTTATTTATTTGTTCATGAGAGAAACAGAGAGAGTCAGAGACACAGGCAGAGGGAGAAGAAGGCTCCCCAAGGGGACCCCGATGTGGGATTTGATCTCAGGACCCCAGGATCATGCCCTGCACCAAAGGCAGATGCTTGACCACTGAGCCAACCAGGCACCCCTTTTTTTAGCTTATTACTTGGCTATCCATTTTTTTTTGCATTTACTTATAAATGTTGTCTACAGCTTATCAATTTCCACTAAGCTATATATTGGGATTTTCATTGTGAATGGAGAATTAAAATTTTTAGGTTACCAGGTCTTCCAATTCAAGAACACAGACTTCATTAAGGTAGTCATTTTTTTTCTCAATATTGTTTTATACTTTTAAAATATGATTTATATGATTCATGATTTTCTTTTATTATCCTATTAAAGTGATTAATTATATTGATTGATTTTTAAATATCAACTTCACATTTCTAGAATAAACCCAAATTGGACATGTTACTTTACCTTCCCTAATTTATTGCCAGGTTTAATTTGTTAATGTTCTGTTTAGGATTTTTACATCTATGTTCATCAGTAAGCATGCCCTGAAATTTTTCTTACTTATAATGCTTTTGTCATATTTTGCAATAAGATTATGCAGAGCTTGGGAATAAGCTAGGAAAGTCATTTTTTTCCCAATTGGGAGATTTTGCATATGGTTGGCATGATGTCTTTATTAACTGGCTATCCAGGGGTAGATTTTACATATAGTTTTGATAGATAACAGTTAAAAGAAGGTTCAGATTTTCTTTGTCAGTTTTGGAGCTCCTTGTGAAGAAATATAATTATAGGTTATATTTTTAAACATTTACAGGGCTACCTAGATTTTCTATTTCTCCCTTTGCCTATTTTCATAAGCTATGGTTAACTAAGAATGTATGTTTTAGGTGTATATTTTTATATCTATTAACTAAAAGTTATTCATTATACATCTTTATGATATTTCAATGTCTTTAGAAGCATCCATATATTGTCTTTTCTCATTACTGATGTTGGTTTTATATGCATTCTCTCTTTTATACTTGCCAGTTCGTATAGCAGATAAATAATTTCATTGATCTTTAAAAAAATCAATTGTCAGAGGTTAAGTTCTCCAAAAGTAATATTTTTTAAAGATTTTTTTTTTGTTTATGCGTGAGAGACACAGAGGAAGAGGCAGCGACAATAGGCAGAGGAAGAAGCAGCCTCCCTGTGGGGAGCCTGATGCAGAACTTGATCCCAGGACCCCGGGATCACCACCTGAACCAAAGGCAGATGCTCAACCACTGAGCCACTCAGGCATCCCTTCCAAAAGCATATATTAAGAGAATAGTGAAAGGGATTAAAAGGGAAAGGAGGGAAACTGAGCGGGAAGAAAAATAAGAGGGGAAATAAACCATGAGAGACTCTTAACTCTGGGAAACAAAGAATTGCAGAAGGGGAAGAGGGTGGGGGGGATGGTGTGACTGGGTGAAGGACACTAAGGAAGACGATGTATGAGCACTGGGTGTTATACTGTATGTTGGCAAATTGAATTTAAATAATTTTTTTTCATATTAAGTAATTCTATTTGGGATGTAAAATGTAAAGTGTAGGCATCAAGGCAAGGTCACCCCATAATGTGCCACTTTGGCATATTGATTATTTTATTTTTTAAAGATTTTATTTATTTATTTATTTATTTATTTATTTATTTGTTTATATTTGAGAGAGAGCATGAATGGGGTAGGAGCAGAGAGAGAAGGAGAAGCAGACTCTACACTGATTTCAAAACCTCACATGTGGCTCAGTCTTACAATCCTGAGATCATGACCTGAGCCAACACCAAGAGCTGGATGCTCAACCAACTGAGTCATTCAGGTGCCCCAGCATATGAATTATTTTAAATAAAAGTTACTTAAGGAACAACCAGAACAAAAAGAGCTTTCTGAATACCCTCTACCTGTGTCCCTAGAAAGCAGGAAGCATACCCTTCTCCTTTGTGAAGAGTGCCTTCCCTATACCAAGTTAAGAGACATCTTTATCACCAGAAACTGGGAATTTAGAGCTGAGAAAGATGTATAAACTATCCTTGTTACTTTTTACTAATGTACTGCCTCAGCTCAAATTCTGTTTAGAGTTCTTCACTAATTTGAAGCTCCCAAACATGAAAGTTTTCTTTGTCCTGTCAATTCCTCACAGATTTATATTTTTTTTGTATAGAAAGTGTAAAAGCTACCTGCTTGGGCATTTCTTTGGGTTTCAATTTTATCATTGTGCTTCCATGTACATGTATTTAATCTTTGTTTTCTGTCTCCTGTTAATCTGTTTCATGTCAATTTCATTCTTAGACCAGATGGAAGAAATTTATTTTTTTTTAAAGATTTTATTTATTTATTCTTGAGAGACACACAGAGAGTGGCAGAGACACAGGCAGGGGAGAAGCTCTCCTGCAGGGAGCCTGATGTGGAATTTGGTCCCAGGACCCTGAGATCACAACTTGAGCCAAAGGCAGATACTCAACCACTGAAACACCCAGGTGCCCCCAGATGGAAGAAGTTTAAATGGTTGAGAAAAATTATCCTTCCTCAATAATACCTGAAAACTGTGCTGCCAAGCACTAAAATGGTTTACATTCATTACAGCACTTAGACTTATGACCATAGATAATTACAATGATTTAACAAATGCAAAACTGAGTTATAAGGAAGTAAATAATTTGCTGAAAGTCTCAGAACTAATAAGTGGATAGGTCACCATCCTAACATTTGGTTTCTATAGCTGCAATCTTCAATACAGCATAAATTGCATTCCTCAAACACTACCCTTGTAATAACATATGAATGGTTTATTCCTAATCTTATTTTTTCTTATCTTTTCAGCTAATTTGAGAGTTCCATGACAAAGTTCTCTGCTAAAGTTCTTCATTCTATTATACTCTTCTCTCTCATCTTGATCACAGTGAGTTAATATAGGAAATGCTGAGACATACCAAATTGTAAGAACAAATTTTTACCCCTAAAAACCATCTTTATTGGGACCCAGAATGTTCTGAACTTTGACTCAGCTGCCTTGATGAGGTTCCATTCTTTAGGGGTCTGTTCATGCAGTCTCCAAGGATGTGTTAAGGCTTTGAGTTCTTTGTCTTCCAGTGAAACCACTGAAACCCAGGTTGAATGATTCTTCTGTGCCAGCACTGGGGCATTTCAGATGAACATCTTTCTCCTTATGAGGACAGAAGAAAACAGTAAACTCCAAGTAGAATTTCCTGCCCAGATACCCTCCCTTCCAGCAGGCACAGACCGTAGAGTTGCTGGATTCTTTTGATATCATCACCATCAAGATGGAAGGTTCTAGGGTCCCGATTCACATATCTAGGGTACATTATGGAGTTCAGACTCTTGGAGTGCAGCAGGCCCAGGGAATGACCTAGCTCATGAATGGCAACCAGGAACAGATTAAACCCTGAAAAGGTACAGACAAAAGTATAAATATTAACTATAAATAAATAAGGCAGAAAAAAAGACGGAAGAAAAAAAGAGAGAACAGAAAAGGAGGAAATAACAAATGTTAGAGAGCAAGAAAAGGCAAGCAGACAGGGAAGGAATCTAGATGGGAAATAGAATGGCAAAATAGATGGCCAGATAAACTGGAAGTGAGCAAGAAGCATGCAGAAAATTGAGACACTGATGAATGGAAGCAAAGATATAAAGAGAGAAAAACAAATGTGACAATGTATTTATGATAGGAGCATCTTAGTTCAGAAATGATCACACTTTCTCCCACTCAAATAGGAGAACCAATTCCTCAGCCAAATCTTCCCACCTCCCCTGGCCATGCCGAGTTCTTTCCTTTATTCTCTGTACTACATTCTAAGCCTAAAGGAAAACCATCATTACCAAAACCTGTGCTCCCAGAGAGTTCTAGCATCCCTACCAGGTAAGGTCTTTCTTTACCTCTGTATGAAGTTGACCAATGTTCTCCTCTGTCAAAGTGGATAACTCCTGGAGTTCTAGAATTTGGTAAAAAGGCATGACCTAAGACACCACCTGGTCCGTCAAAGGGCCAACAATCTCCATGGGCTGTGGATAATGACAGAAGCTATTGTCACAATGAGAGATCAGGGAAAGGGTGGGAGTGGTCTTGGTAAGCCTTCGTGCCTTAGAGTACCGTGCAACTGGATACTGTGAGAGGTATGAGAGGCCTAAGGCACCATCTGTGCAGGAGAATGGCGTGACAGCAAAAATCTAGCCACTATCTTCTGTGGTAAAAGAAGAAAAGAGGCAGAGATTGAGTGAAGGTTATATGTGACACAAAAACTCTTCTCAAAATGGAAGGAAAACAGAGAAGGAAACTTAGACTCTGCAGTGTTTTATCAACAGGCTGAACAGGATTTAAACAGATTTGAGGGCTACACAACCACCCTTTTTTACTCTGTTCACACCATGGTGCATCTCCTCTCCTACCTCCTGCTGCATTGTACTAAAAGATGTCTTCTCTGTATTATAGACTTATTGATTTCCATTAGGTTTGCCTGATTTTTTTTTCAAAAGCTAGACTAGATGGACTAGATTTTTGTTTATGGATTGAGACCATTTTCCCTTTACATGGGACACCACACCCTCCCTCTTATGTTGTTTCTTACCTAAGTCCCAAAAAGAAATCTTGATATCTGCATCTTGACTTTTCACTTGCTGGAAAATCAGAGGGGTCACATTACTCCAGATGGAAACTGCATTTTGCATGATATTTTTCACTGTGGATGGGTTTATATCTCTTGGGTAATTGATAATCCTGAAAGAAGAAATCTTTAAGTGGAATAGCTCAGAGTTATGGGAATTATCCTACATCTAAAAAAGAATAACTCTGCTTTAGAGCAAAACACTTAATATTTTGGGGTCTCATTTTGCTCATCTGTAAGATGGAGTAAATTCTCAAAGAGTTAAATCTGCACAATATAGGTTCCTAATAATTTAGATATTTGTTAGATTTCTGAGAATTTATATATATATATATATATATATATATATATATATATATATATATATATATATATTTTATGATAGGCACACAGTGAGAGAGAGAGAGGTAGAGACATAGGCAGAGGGAGAAGCAGGCTCCAGGCACCAGGAGCCCGATGTGGGATTCGATCCCGGGTCTCCAGGATCACGCCCTGGGCCAAAGGCAGGCGCCAAACCGCTGCGCCACCCAGGGATCCCGATTTCTAAGAATTTTATCAAATTTCCCACATTCTTATGTAAATTGAAATGTGAGAACCACAGCCTTACAAAGTAATTATGAAAAAAGAATCAATGTGGATTCAATTGAAAAATGTACAGCATTCTACATAGGTTAGTATTGCTTGGCTTTGGATGTCTCTAATACACTTCAGATCCCCCATAGAAGAATAGAAGTAACTGAGAGAAGGAGCAAAAATATATCAAAATCCTGTGCTATAAACACCGTCCCCTCCACAAACACACATTTCCAAAAAAAGGATTTAACTAGGCAGAAGTCAGTAGAAGTGCCTCCAGGAAGCACTCATTGCTTCCTGGCCCTAACAACAAACACCTGTAGGTCAGAGTGTGCTTATCCCACGTAGAACTTCCTGGGAAAGTGGAGTCCTTAGCCCCATCATTTCCTCCACAGTGGGGCTGACGTGACACAACCAGCATCTGCTCATCCTGTAGGCCTGTCTCGTTCAGATGGAACTGCTTCAGGCGCTGTATCTTGTCCTCTTGGGTGAAGAGTGGCAACTCCCTCTTGGTCAGGAAAAGCTGATGGAAATAGTTCTGGGTGAGAGACAGGGAAGTGATGTGTACTTAGGATAAGGACAGACTTGCACCCGGGGCAGAGCCTTATTTGAGGTTCTGGGAAGGATGGGGCTTTGTGTCTCTGGCCTTCCTCAACCTCTTGTTGTCAGTTGAATGATGGCAAGTATCCCTGATTCTCCTGTCATGGGGAGACAATAAAAGAAAACCTAGAGAGCCTGTTAAAAATTCTTCAGAAACAAAGCATCCAGTGTCAGGATAGAGAGGCCCAAGAACGGTCATAAGATATTAGGTGAGACTTGCCCAGGGAAGATGACATCTTTATTTTTTTTTTTAAGATTTTATTTATTCATGAGAGAGAGACACAGAGAGAGAGAGAGAGTAAGAGACAGAGACAGAGACACACACAGCAGAGGGAGAAGCAGGCTCCATGCAGGGAGCCCTACGTGGCACTCGATCCCAGGTCTCCAGGATCACACCCTGGGCTTCAGGCGGCGCTAAACCCCTGAGCCACCGGTGCTGCCCACATCTGGTCTTTCTGACCCATTGAGGTGTCTTCAGTCCGGACAGAATGAATGATTCCCAAGACATAACATCTGTTTCTACATACCCCATTTATTTGCATTTATGCATTCCATTCCATTAAACTATTCTTTTAAAGCTCATTCATTAGCCACTCCCTGTGGCTCATTGACTCATTCAAGTTCTATTGACTTTCTTACCATCTGGTACTAAATTTCAACTTCTGGTGAAAAAGGGACCTTATATTCTAGTCAGGCTATATGTGTATCTATGTTTGAACTCCAGTATTTTCAGAGCAGTATTTATGTCTATTTTTACCTGACCTACACCACAGTTCTTATGCTGGTGCTTGATATGAACTCATGGTGAATTTTTGCATTTTTGTAAAAAAATTGCATTTTTATGCCTTTATTTTATTGTGGAATTGGCTGGGCACTCAGAGGCACATGATGTAGCACATTTTTCTGGGCTAAGTATGAGCAGTAAATTTTACTCAGTTCCTGAGTAATTATGAAACACACAACTAATGGCAGTTTCAGTTATTTTGGATGCTGAAAATGTCTGAAACAAATTCATAGTTTCTTGAGGAATTTGAAAGTGTGTAATAGACATTTTGGGAAGTTTCTCAGTCCATAGGAAGGACAAATTTATTAGTCCATTTAAATCATTTTTCCTGGTTGTTCACCACCTGCCAGACTCAGAGATATAGACCCTGGGTGTTCATTCTATGCCATTCCAGAAGGCTAAGAGTCAGGGAGGAGAGCACTGCAGTTAAACTATCTACTAGGCACCATAAGCACAGTACTTTAGGGGCCTAAAAATGATTTCATTATTTCTAAAATCAGAAGAAAAAACACTTATAGATTGAAGAAAATGAAAAATGTTTTAATATGTAATTTTAATGTATGAGTTTCTACCATGTGGTAACTGTTTAGATATAACACATAATGGAAGAAGAGCCCATAATAGTAATAATGTGATAAGATGGTCCAGTTAACACACCTACCTTAACAAAGTCCAGTCCTTTAAGGTCTGTAGCAGGGGGCACTGGGAAGGCCAGGCACCAAGGCAGGAAAACAGTAACCTTTAAGATGAAAGTCTGCATGGCGAATGCTCATTTCTCCCCCTGCCTGAATTCATGTACCTAACATTGATCATGGAGCCTTTATAGCCATGCCAGCCACATCCAGTGACTCATGATGCTAGTCTGCCCTTTCTTTGCACTGGCTAGTGTTGTCATTGTCCTTTCTGAACTGAAGGCATAGTGGTCAGCATGACGACAGCAGCCATAGGATTTATTTTCCCATTCATTTCATGCTTGATGGCCCTCTGGATACCTGGTCACAGCCCTGGCAGAGGAAATACTGACATATATCAGGTTATAGGGGACATTGTCATTTAAAAGGGAGGAAAAAAACCTCCAAGAAACAGGAAACAAAAGAACAATTTATTACAGCTTTACACATAGAATAATTTCTTTACTAGTCACAGACAAATATTACCTTACTCCAGAAGCTGAAGAGAGAGAGGATTGTGAAATTGTGGAAGATGGTAGTGTCCACTGTAGTGAAAATCTAGATCAGAATATGAAAAATCTCTGAGACCGATATAGAAGAGTTATAGGAGCACACAGAATGATAAGGTTGCTAAAAATATGTTTAAGAAAATAATTCAATTAATAATAAATTGAGACCAACACAGAGATTTACAAACACAGCAAAAGATTTATATAGCCTTTGAAATCCACAAATATGAGTATGAATATTAACTCTTCTACCTACAAGCTGATCTGCTTTAACAAGTTATTTAATACTGTGAAGCTCCTGTCTTTTTATCTGTAAATTAAGGAAACTAATAATATTACAGAAACTTAGCACTGAGCTTGGTAACAGTAAACCACAATAGATAAAAGCTGTTTTATAAATATTATTACATTCACACACACACACACACACACACACACACAAAATGAAGCAGAAACAAAGGCCTGGAGACACAGAGAGAATGATTCAAATACCACGCTCTGTGGAGCACCTTCTGAGTGCCCAGACCTGAAACTGCTTCCAATGAGGAAGACAAAGTGAATGGATGCGTTTCCATTTCTTGGCCTCAGGAGCTCATCCTTTGACAATCACAGGAACCCCTGCTATATTTGCTCCTCCAAGGACTGCACCTCTCTCCCTCCTATTCCTGACAGTTTCCCCAGATTAACCAAAGGGATAAAATGGTTCCGCAAATAGGATAGAGAATGGATTGGGCAAGTAGAGGTGTTCACCTCCAAAACTCTAGATCCCTACCTCTACATCAATTCCTTCAGACAACTGATTTTAATCAAATTTCTTTCTTCTTATGGGGAGTGCCTACTCCCTAAACATGGTATTATCCAGTCATTGTCCCTGCAAACACAGGCTCAATAAATCAAATTGGTTTGCCTTCTCCTGTGGCCTGAAAACATGCCCTTCTAGGGTAATGAAACTTCCATTGATGCTCTTTTGTAGGATTATAGCCTTCTGCTCCATATCCCCATCCCTATCTTCTTCATGGCTGGGAAAGATACCATATTTGATTGTGGTTTCTCTGCCTTGGAAATATTTGGCACTGGGGAGTGGTGAGAGAGAAGTGTGAGGACTGTGCCAACCATGATCTTGGCATAAGACCAGGTCCACAATTTCATTAAATCTTAACCTGATGGCAAGATGGGATAGAAGCCAGAGTTCTGGGCCTTGGGCCTACAGTTAAAACAAAAATCAAATAACGGGTTTTAAGGATGGAAGTTGAGAATCATATAAGAACTTATAAAACAATTATTGAGTATCTATTATAAAATAAGTCTGTATTTTATGCTTTTGATGAGGATTACTACAATTTTATAGGTATAAGATGGGACTTGAAAATAAGAGATAACATACTAATATCAAGCAGTTAAGGAATAAAGTTAGTTTCAAATTCAACACTGAAATGTGGGATCCCTGGGTGGCGCAGCGGTTTAGCACCTGCCTTTGGCCCACGGCGCTATCCTGGAGACCCGGGATTGAATCCCATGTCGGCCTCCCGGTGCATGGAGCCTGCTTCTCCCTCTGCCTGTGTCTCTGCCTCTCTCTCTCTCTCTGTGTGTGACTATCATAAAGAAATAAAAATTTTAAAAAAATTATATAAAAAAAAAACACTGAAATGTTCCATCAACAAGGGTGAACAAAATTATATATAGATGACAGATAATCAATTGATTGATAGATAATAGGTAGATAGAAGATAGGTACATAGATAATAGATGATAGATAGATAATAAATCAATAGATGATAGATAGATAGATAATAGACAGTTGGATACATAGATGATAGCAGACCACTACCCAAGAACAACAGGAAACCAATTACTGACACATGTAACAAAACAGGCAACATCAAAAACATTACCTTGAGCTAAAGATGTGTGATTATAGCTACATTTATGAAGTTCAAGAAAAGGCAAAACTAATTTATGGAGGGAAAGCTGAGCAGAGATTTCTTTTGTGGAAGGGAGGGAGGATTGATGGTAAAACACACATACAAGGGAACTTTCTCAAGTAATGACACCTATTTCTTAACTAGAATCTGGGTAATACAGGTGGATTCACTTTTCAAACTTGCTAAACTATATTTAGTTATCTGTGCATATGCTAATTATACCTCCCTAAAAATAAGTATTATGGAGGTGCCTGGGGTGCCTTAGCTCAGTTGGCTAAGTGTCTGCCTTTGGCTCAGGTCGATCTCAGGGTCCTGGGACGGAGTCCTGCCTGGGGCTCTCTGCTCAGCGGGGATTCTGCTTCTCCCTCTGTCCTTCCCTCTGCTTGTTTTTTTTCTCTCTCTCTCTCTCTCTCTCTCTCTCTCCATCTCTCAAATAAATAAATAAAATCTTAAAAAATAATTAATTTTTTAAATAAATAAGAGAAATGAATAATACAGGACTATATTATAAATGGCAATATCTGTGGTTATATGAGGACATATATAATTATGTTGATTTTTTTAAAGTGGAAATGTTTTTTTTTTTAATTTTTTTAAATTTTTATTTATTTATGATAGTCACAGACAGAGAGAGAGGCAGAGACACAGGCAGAGGGAGAAGCAGGCTCCATGCACCGGAAGCCCAATGTGGGATTCGATCCCGGGTCCCCAGGATCGCACCCTGGGCCAAAGGCAGGCGTCAAACTGCTGCGCCACCCAGGGATCCCCTAACGTGGAAATGTTAAAACTAGTTTACACTCTAAAAAAAGGAATCTATATTCTAAAGATATCGGTAAAAATAAATAATGAATAATCCAATATAAGAATTAATAAGGGATCCATAAGGGATCCCTGGGTGGCGCAGCGGTTTGGCGCCTGCCGCCGGCCCAGGGCGCGATCCTGGAGACCCGGGATCGAATCCCATGTCGGGCTCCGGGTGCATGGAGCCTGCTTCTCCCTCTGCCTGTGTCTCTTCCTCTCTCTCTCTCTCTCTCTCTCTCTCTCTCTCTCTCTCTCTGTGTGTGTGTGTGTGACTATCATAAATAAATAAAAATTTTTAAAAAAAAGATTTAAAAAAAAAAAAAGAATTAATAAGATTGAAGATATTTGTGGTAAATTTGGAGAAGAGAATACTCTAAATCTGGAAAAGGCAAGGTGGAGTTAAGACTATCTATGGACCAGAGGTGTTTATTGTTAGGTAGGCATGAAGTAAAGACAGATTATTTCTTATGGCCTCTTTCAAATTTGTAAAATATGACTGTGCACTGAAAGCTCCCAGTGACATAAGTCTTAATCTTCATTTCCAAGATGAATAAACTATAGTTTAGGAAATAATACAAACCTCTCCATAGAAATAGTAAAATTCATAAGGTTTGCATCTCTATTTGGTTAACTCTAAAGCAAATTCTATCGAATGGACATGCAGCTTTTCTTTACTGGCAGATATCCATCATTATACAATCAGCACAGACTTGTTTCTTCAACCAGAATAAATTCACAAACCTTGGGGCCAAAGCTCAGGGGAGTCACAATGATGGAAATAATGCCTAACTGTCAAAAATTACTAGAAGTTTTCCAAAATACATTGCAACAATGAAAAAGAAGCACAAAACTTTTTGAATCTCTTATGTCTTCTCAGTTCTCTGAAATACCTCTTTTTTAATCCCTCCCACTCATCAATTCCCAAAATGTTCCTCCATATATTCCTTATATGTTCTTCAGCCCTCGTTGTTCATTACTTTCCTGTCCCCCAGAGTTTGGCTTCTCCATCTAGGGTAGGTATTTCCAAGAAGTGAGAAGTCAAGTCCTCTCCAACCCTTGATAGGACATGATTAGAGTCCCCCATAAAAGGTATTTCTTCAGTTACTCTGACTTGTTCTTAAAATTCTGGTGCAGAATTCTTAATAAATGGAATCCTCCTGTGTTTAGATCCATAAACTACACCATAGATTCATTAAGGATGGACTTTCCCAATTTGCATTGATGTATGTAGCACAATCTTTGGAACCTAGAAGGAACTTACTGTTTGTTAGATGAATAAATGTGTTCAGTGAAAGAAACTCATAGCTGCTAATGAGATTAGAAGTAAGTTGTTTGTATCTGTTTTGCTAGCAGTAAATGGGAGCACATAACTCAAGTTTCTTGACCTAGGGCAGATAAAAATTACAATAATTTATTGAGCACATGTGCTAGGTCAAGCATGTACTATCTTGCTTCATTGATGCAACCACTTTTGAAGTAGGAGTTTTATTACTTTCTTTTTAGAGTTAAGGAACTAAGGCCTTCTCATCATTTGACCATCATTTGAGCAGTCATAATACTCAAAGTGATGTATGGAAGTTATAAAGAGAGAGAGAGAGCGAGAGAGAGAGCCTTACTCTGAAGGCAGAACAGTTAATCACTGAAGTGGAATGCCAGTTTTGGAGAGGTCATTCCATCACTTGTGCTACACGTCATTGCAATGCTGTTTCTGGCATGCCCAGTGTGTAACATACAATTTGACAGGGCAGACTCAGATGAGTAGTCATCTGTAAGACTGACCCAGTACTCAAGTAAATGAGTGCTGGATGCTGAGGCCTCGCTTACCTAAGAAAGTAAATGAGTGACTTATTAACAATT